GCCCCGGGACCTCACCTGCTCCCGCGGGGGCCAGAGCCAGGGCCACAGCCAGAGCACCCCCGCCAGGGTTGTCAAGGAGCGAAACAAGAGTGTCTTAGCAACCAGTAAGGAAGTCCTGCCCCCTCACCGGAAGTTGACGACAATTTCACTTCTTACTGGTGAATGAGGATGTCAATCAGCGTTGGAGGTCCCTACAACGGGAGGGTTCGCGCGGAAGGGGCGTGGCCTAGGGGCTAGGGAGGCGGGCCTTGGCGTATAGTCGTCTTCAGCGTGCCGGAGGAGTGCGGACGGAGCGAAGTTGTGTTTGCAGCGAAACCAACTTCGAAAAGCGTTATTGCCTTGGGAGTTTCGGTCATTTCAAGTAACAGATGCAACCTGTTAGCATCTTGACACTGAGCTGCTACGCTGCTGGACGCCCCTACGCTTCACTAGCGTTTAGGGAGGGCTTTGTCATTCCCGTCGCTCTCGCTCGACGCCTGTAGGGCACGGCGTCAACCATCGCACCTGACCTGTCACCTGTCGCAGGAGGGGCGACACCCCCTGGCCGGGTCCCTGGGCGACCCGTGTTCCCTCCCGCTGCCCCCAGACACAGCGGGTCCGGCCAGCCTGCCGTCTCCCTGGTAGGGAACTTAATCCGAGAGTCTGAACCCAGCGCGCACAGGGCGAGACCTGCGGACTCCAAGCTGCGGGTGCTGCACCCACGGGGTCTGTGGGGGCACCGCGTGATTTAAATGTTCACCGCGAGGCCACCTGGGGGCGAAATCCCACTGCCACACTCACTGGCTGCCAGCTCCTGGGAGCTCGGCCCTGGCCGGGACCTAGGAATTCAGAGAGGAGACGGGTGAGGTCTGACAGTCTCAAGAATCGCAGGGAGCGGAGGCGCCGCGTGCTGGCTGTCTCCAAGGAGGGAGCCCCAAGCCGGGGTGTGGTGCTGGGGCTGGCTGATGGGAGGAGGGACCGCAGAGTTCCCTGGGGAACTGTGCAGGAGGCCTGGGTGCAGAGTGAAATGTGCAGGTGGGTAGGCGGGTAGCAGGAGGGCTTTGAATGGGGGGGGGGTATTGAGTGCTCCAGAGTGAGGTGAGAATGGGGGGGGGGTAGGTGTTGGAGGGTTTTGCAGAGAGCAGCGCAGCAACATGGTGGGCCCGGGGTTATGGGGGGAGCGCTGTGGGGGTGAAGAGTGGTCGCGATTAGGAGTGCATCGTAGACAGCAGGCAAGCACAGTGGGTTTGATCCGGGGTCTTGGCAGCTTGAAGTGTGCTTAGTCCCTGCCTCCCTGGTCTGTTCTGGCCCGTGGGATGCGCGGATCAGCCTCCAGCTCGCCTCGAGCCTCCTGCCGGTTCTCTGGGAGAGGGAAGATGGCCCGTGAGCGCAAGGACGCTCTTGCCTTCTCCTCTCCTCCACATTTCTCCCCAGAGGGGTCCGCGTGGGCTGTCTTCTCGTTCTCACCTCCCGTTCGCTGTGCAGCCCACTGCAATCTGGCTTCCACTCCCACCACACCACCAGATTCCCCTCTCCCTGGTTACCAGGCACCTCCTGAAGCACGGAGCCCCAGACACCCTCCGCTCCGTGGCCCACGCCCACCCGCCTGTCCCCCACCCCCGGCTCTCATGGGGGCTCCAGGCGGTGAGGGGCAGGGGCGTGGGCTTCTCGCAAGCGCCGCTGGTGCACGGATGGCCGAGAACAGCAGTGCCAGCCTCACCGGCCGTCTTCTGTGGGGACCCCCTTCTTGGGCTCTTCTGCCTTTGCTCACCCCCCACCCCCGTGCCTAACCTGACCCTGTTCCCCTCACCCATGCTTCCTCCGCCCAGGTCACCCCCGAATCAAGCAGGGTTCCCCGGGTCACACTCCCGAGGCGTGTACTGGGACGGAGGGAGGGCTGTGCACGTTGGAAAAGCCGGGCCGTGGGGTCCGAGCACTCGTCCAGGGCGCTGCCGCCTGCATTGATGCCCTTGGGGACCTCGTCCACACGCACGGTTGCCATTGTTGGCGTCTTCCTGGGTTCTGCTGGCTCCTGTGTCTCCCTCCTCCGTCCCCTTGCTGTGCCAGCTCCTTGCCTCCTGCCCCAGCCGTGCCAACTCCCAGGTTCCCACACTGACCGCAGCTGCTCCCCTCCCAGCACTCGCTCTGTCCCTCTCCTCCGCTTTCCCTCCTTTGAGCCCAGAAGCTCTGTCCCTCCTCGTGCACGGTGGGACGCCATCACTTGCATCTGGCACAGGTTCCTGTCCCTGACCTTCCCCACTCTTCTGAACCTGAGTTTCTCTGTCTTCCCCGGAAGAGCCGCGGCTGTCCTTCGCACACAGGACCCGACAGAGGGCAGGTGCGCAGCGAGCGTTTCATGAGTGAGTGAATGAATGAGTGAGCGAGGTAGGGGCTGGTCCTACCTCTCAGACTCAGCTCTTGTCAGTCCCCAAGACCCAGCCTGGGTCCCAGCTGCCTCCCTGGGTGTGTGCCCGTGCTGCTGATGGTGGGTGGCGGATACCCTGGCTCCAGTAACAGGGACCAGAAAACCGTGGCTGTCACAGGTTCAGGTTTGGCCAGAGCTGGCAGGTGTGGGTCTCAGCCACCTCAGCGGGGGCCCTGAAGCCATCCCAGGGTGACAGGTGCGCCTCCAGCATCTCACTCGCATTCCAGCCTGGAAGAGAAGGACAACAGGACAAACAGTGACTGCCGTGGGTCAGTGTCCTGGAGACCTCCTCTCACATCCCCCTGCTCAGAGCGCTGCCACGTGCTGGCTTCTGGCTTCAGAGGGGCTGGAGCGCGTATTTTAGCTGCTCGTATTTTCACCTCCAATTTCTGTCACTTCTGGCCCGCGCGGACCTGCCCTTCCCCTCTCCACCGAAATGTTCCCTCTGCTCCACATTTCTTTATATTTTTTTTAAAGATTTATTTATTTATTTATTTGAAAGAGTTACACAGAGAGAGAAAGAGGGGCAGAGAGAGAGAGAAAGAGAGAGAGGTCTTCCAGCCATTGGTTCACTCCCCAGATGGCTACAGTGGCTGAGGCTGGGGGCCAGGCTGAAGCCAGGAGCCAGGAACTCCATCCAGGTCTCTCACATGAGTGACAGGGTCCCAAGCACTCAGGCTTCCTCCGCTGCCTTCCCAGGTGCATTAACAGGGAGCTGGATGGAAGTGGAACAGCCGGGACTCAAACCTGGGCCCACGTGGCAATGCTGGCATGGCAGGCAGTGGCTTAACCTACAGGGCCACAGCGCTGGCCCCTATCTGATGGATTTTTAAAAAATATTTATTTATTTATTTGAAATATTCAGAGTTGGGAGGAGAGACACATAGAGATCTCCCATCTGCCGGTTCATTCTCCAGATGGCTACAAGGCCAGGGCTGAGCCAGGCTGAAGCCGGGAGCCAGGAGCTTCATCCAGGTCTCCCATGTGGGTGGCAGTGGCTCAAGCACTTGGGCCATCCTCCACTGTATTTCCCAGGTGCATTAGCAGGGAGCTGGATTGAAAGTGGAGCAGCCAGGACAGGAGCTGGTGCCCACATGGGATGTCGGCACCGCAGGCTGTGCCATAGCGCCGGCGCCCTGATGGATTTCATAATCCCCGTGCCCAGGTGAGCGTCTGGCATAGAGTCATGATACTGAATGTTTGGAAAAGCCCTTTAGACCACAGGGAGTTCAAGGTCACTGCTCTCGGGCCTTGGGTCTTGCCTGCTCCTCACAGCCGGAGCTCTTTGACCAGCAGGCCCCTGTGGGGGCAACCAGGAGGAGGAGGGGAGGGGCACACCCTCTCTGCAAGGCCCTGCTGCGAAGCCTCCATCCCATCGTCAGAAGGCAGGGGAGGCTGGGCCCGGCCGAGAGCAGGCCGCACAGCTGGGGTGCCCGGTGGGTTCTCCCTCTGAGTGAGACTGAGGAGGAGCCACTGGAGTCCCATGAGCGGCTGAGGGGAGTCCAGCTGCCCCGGCCACTGGCGAGCTCCGGGAGCCCAGTGAGTCGCCTCGGCTTCCTGAGCCCTGGCCTCCGTCCCCGGCGAGCGGGAACAGCTGCGGCTGACTTGCAGGTGTCAGGTGAAGGGATGAACTGAGCTGCAGCCCTGGCCCTGCCAGGCAGTCTCTCTGTGGCCTGGCGTCCAGCTCCCCGTGCAGGAGGAGGAGGCGCTCAGAGCCGGGCTGGGTGACGCCTTAGCGAGAAACTGGGGCAGAGAATCCGGCACTGCACGCACGGCTGGACTTGAGGGTCTGACCCTGAGACTCTGGGGAGAGGCTTCTCTGTTTCATTTATTTCAAAGGCAGAGTGACAGAGAGAGAGAGAGAGAGAGAGAGAGAGAGAGAGAGAGATCTGTATCCACTGCATCAGTCTCCAAGTGGCCACAACAGCTGGGGCCAGGCGGAAGTCAAGAGCCTGGGACTCCATCCGGGTCTCCCACGTGGGTGGCAGGGGCCCAGGTGCTTGGGTCATCTCCCGCTGCCCTCCCAGGAGCATTATTAAAAAGCTGGATCGGAACCAGAGCGGCCAGCACTGGAACCAGCACTCTGATGCCTGACGCGTGTGCCCCAGCGCCGGCCCCAACGTGTGTGTTTATTTAGTCCTTTGCAGTTCTATCAGATGGGAACGTCTATTGGCTTGAAGTGTTTTCCTCCTGTGAGTTTTCGGTTCTGCTTCCAGCTATGTCTGCTTACGTTTTGTTGAATGCCAAACCTTGTGTAACAAAAATATCGCGTGAGAGTTTGGATGCTGATGCGGTGTTCCTCCAGGGAGGGTTTACTTCTGCTTCTGCCAAGCTGTCGCTGAACGGGCAGGCACCTTAACTCAGTGGTGAACGAGCGCTGGGGGTTGGAACTCAGCGGGGGAGGGCTGGAACTCAGCGGGGGTTCGGGTGCCCCCCAAGGCGCCATGTGTTACAGTGTAACCCCCGTTGCTAAGTAGGTGGACCTTGATCCGACTGTGGGATTTGGAAGTGGGAGCTTCAGGAGCCGCTAGGGTTAGTCAGGGTCGTTAGGATGGAGCCCCGTGGTTGAATCCTGGTGGCTTTGTGCCCAGAGGGAGCGGGACTCACAGACACATGCCCGCCTCCTGGCACATGAGGCCCTGTGCCACCTCGGGCCTCTGCCAGTAAGATTTTTTTTTTTTTGACAGGCAGAGTGGACAGTGAGAGAGAGACAGAGACAGAGACAGAGACAGAGACAGAGAGAAAGGTCCTCCTTTTCTGTTGGTTCACCCCACAATGGCCGCCGCGGCCAGCGCACCGCACTGATCCCATGGCAGGAGCCAGGTGCTTCTCCTGGCCTCCCATGTGGGTGTAGGCCCAAGCACTTGGGCCATCCTCCACTGCACTCCCGGGCCACAGCAGAGAGCTGGCCTGGAAGAGGGGCAACCAGGACAGAATCCGGCGCCCCGACCGGGACTAGAACCCGGTGTGCCGGCGCCGCAAGTGGAGGATTAGCCTAGTGAGCCGCGGTGCCGGCCCCATTATAGTCTTGAACCGTGGAGCAGTACCATTTCTATTTCATCCTACTTTGAAAGCGCAGCTCTTTGGGGTCCGGTTAAAGCCTGGGACGTCCACCAGAGCCTCGTGCTGGACTTGGGTTCCCAGATAGAAGCTCTGCATCTCCCTGCCGTCTGATTTCTTGAACGTGTTAGCTGGCCGCTCGACTGCCCCGTGGTAAGCGGGCAGGTGCACAGAAGGAAGCAGCGGCCCCAGAGGTCAGGCCCCCCCCCTCTGAATGTCTCCCCAGGATTCCTGTCCCCGAGCTCCAGCCTGTCCTGGTACCTGCTTGTGGCCTTTTCTAGAAGTCTTGAATACCTTGTTGGGTGGTTTTTTTTTTTCCTACATTAAAAATATTTATTTATTTGAAGGCAGAGTGACACACACAGAGAGAAACAGAAAAATCTTCCACCTGCTGGTTCAGTCCCCAAATGGCCACAACAGCCAGGTCTGGACCAGGCTGAAGCCAGGAGCCAGGAACTGCATCCACGTCTCCCGTACTGGCAGGGGCCCAAACACGTGGGCCGTCTCCTGCTGCCCTCCCAGGTGCGTTCACCGGAAGCTGGACTCGAGCCGGCGCCCTGACATGGGACGCCAGTGTTGAAGCAGTGGCTTCACCTACTGTGCCACAATGCCGACTGCTGTTCTTTTTCTAGAATCTTCTTGGTGAAAATTCTGCGGCAGAACCGCCCTGCTTCAGCCTTGGCAGCGCTTCGACATCCAGGAGGGGCCGACTTTGCAAGGAGAAGACGCTTACTTAGGTTCTGCAGGTGCAAAGCTCAAACAGCGTGGGGCAGGCTGTGGCGGGTCTGGTGGCAGGAGCGCCCGCATCTCTCTGTGTCCCCGTGGTCCCCGTCCCTCCCCTCTGAAGCCACCCGGATTGAATCTGGGCCCTACCTCAATGACCTAGCCCAGTGCAGTCATTTCCCAAGGCCCAGCCACTCCACGCCGTGACTGGATGCCGTCTGCTGCCGCCTGGGCCTGTTAACCCGAGACTCTGGGGACCGCACTCCTGCGCTCAGGCCACCCGAGGCCACCTCAGAGACTTTCATTCGATTTCCCACGACTTTCCTGAAGGCCCCTCACGGCAGAGGCTAAGGTACGTCTGGGGCTGACACTTCCCAGGGGTGTGATCTCGGCCAAGGCCCCTCTCTGGGCCTCGGCTTGCTCGCAGCGCTCCCCACCGTGCACTGAATAAACCAAGCACCTACGGTGGGCCGGGCGCTGGTGACAAGAGCAAGGCCTGTCCCTTCCCTCCCAGGGCTGACTTGACATTCAGGGGGACATTGAGTGACTCACAACCAGGGAAGCAATGAGGTCTTCGCCCAAGAGAAGTGCATGCCGCAGTACGAGTTAGGGGATGGCTGGACGGCTGGGGCTGTGGCGCGGCAGACTGAGCCGCTGCCTGTGACGCCACCGTCCCATGTGGGCGTCAGTTCATATCCCTGCTGCTCCACTTCCGATCCAGCGCCCTGCTAATGCTCCTGGGAAAGCAGTAGAAGATGGCCCAAGTCCTTGGGCCCCTGCACCCACGAGGGAGACCTGGATGAAGCTCCTGGCTTTGGCGTGGCCCAGGCCTGCCCATTGAGACCATCTGGGGGGTGAACCAGTGGGTGGAAGCTGTCTCTATTTCTCTCTCAAAGGATGGCTGAGAAGGTGACCCCAGCAGGTTTGGACCCAGGCCAAACAGAAAAGTCTTAATTCTTGAGTCTGGGGCCCAGGGAGAGGACTTGGCAAATGGCGGCGGCGAGTGGACAGGCAGCGACTCACGGCCACAGCACAAGCTTCTGGGATTTCCGAGACCTGAACAGGAAAACGGGGCAAGGCTGCTGTGAGCCGGGATGGTGCACTCCGGCCGAGGGAAGAAGCGGGGCCGCGGGAGAGCAGGAGGAGGCGGGGCCGGGACCACCCAGGGCCGGGCAAGAGGAGGTCTGGACTCTCTTCTAGGGTGCGGGGAAGCTCTGGGGAGGTTAGTGCGGAGGAATGGCAATATTTTGATTGCAACGTGAGAGAGGACATCACAGTTGTGTGCTGGAGACACAGCGGCGGGCGTGGAGAGAGGGGTGGACAGGGTCTGGGCACCTGTCACTGGTGGAGCCCGCAGGTGATGGATCGGACAGAGGGCCAGGAAAGGAGAGGACTCCCTGAGCTGCCCTGTTGATTTGTGCCCACTGACTGGGGGAAGGGTGGAGCGGATCGAGAGTCTCGTTTTGGATACAAGAGTGTCTTGAGGCTCCTATTCCATAACCTGGATATGCAAATGCGAAGGTCGGGGAAAGTTCTAGAAGAGAGTCGCGATTTGAAGTGCACACCACGGTACGAGTTAGGGGACGGCTGGATGGCTGGGGCTGTGGTGCGGCAGACTGAGCCGCTGCCTGTGACGCCACCATCCCGTGTGGGCATCAGTTCATTTTTAAAAATTTTGTAGACAATTTATTTTCCTTTTATTTGAGAGGCAGGGACTGTCCATCCACTGGCTCACTCCCCAGACTCCTGAAACAGCCAGGGCTGGACCAGGCTAACGCCATGAGGAGCTGGGAATCGAATCCGAGTCTCCCACATGGGAGACAGGAACCCAGGTAACTGAGCACTGACTGTTGCCTCCGAGGGTGTGCGTTAGCAGGGAAACTGGAACCAGAGCTGAGGTGGGCCTTCAACCCGGGCTGCTGTGTCAAACCTGCTGCTCTGACCCCCAACCAGGGGTCACCGTTTTGAAAGTCAAAGATGATGGCTGAAGCCAGGGGCCTGGGTGGTATTTCCTAGGTAGAGCGTCCAGGTTGGGAGAGAAAGGTTCCTGGGGGACAGGTGCGTCCGCGAGAGCTCAGGGAGCCGAGGAGTAGGTGGAGAGGGGCTGAGAAGGAGCAGCCAGTGAGGCGGGGCCGTGGTTTCAAAGCCCGGCCCCAGGCCCAGCGGCCACAACGTCGCCGGGCACTCGCCAGAGCTGCCGGAGAGTGAGCAAGTGGCCTCTCAGCGGCAGCGAGGCCGGCCCCAGCGGAGAAGCAGCCAGGAGAGAGTGCGTGTGGAAGGCAAGAGCAGGAACCTGCCAGGAAGGGAGCGCGGCTAGGTGAATGCCCCGTGCGGCTGGGCGTGCGGCTCCACGAGCCCGGAGGGCCGCCCTCCGTCTGGGCAGGGGGACACAGCTGGCCTCGCCAGGACTGGTTTTGGTGGAGGACCACAGCAGCAATCTGGCGGGGAATGGCAGGGTGTGGGTGACAGAGGAAGGAAGTGGCGGGGACTGTAGAACCACGGTGCAGCGAGGGCCAGTTCAGCACGGGTGGGCCCTGTCAATCAGGACCGTGCTGGGCTTGGCCGGTTCCTGGGAGATAAGTGCCAAGGCCTGGGAGAACCCGCCTGGAGTCAGTGCCTTTGTGAACCTTGGTTCATACCTGATAGTTTATGCTAAGGAAGTCGCTTATGGCAGGGGCCTGTTTTGTTTTGTTTTTAAAGATTTACATATTTATTTGAAAGTCCGAGTTAGAGAGAGAGAGAGGGAGGAGAGACAAAGAAAGAGAGAGAGGTCTTCCATCTGCTGGTTCACTCCCCAAATGGCCACAAGGGCCAGGGCTAGGCCAAGCTGAAGCCAGGAGCCAGGAGCTTCATCCGCATCTCCCATGTGGGTGGCCGGGGCTCTAGGACTTGGGCCATCTTCCATTGTATTTCCCAGGTGCATTAACAGGGAGCTGGATCGGAAGTGGAGCAGCCGGGACGCAAACTGGCACTCGTATGGGATGTTGACATCACAGGCAGCGGGTGAACCCACTATGCCACAATGCTGGCCCCAAGTGCCCGTTCTTATTTGCCTGGAGCCCTGGGTCATGCTGTATCCGCTTGGCCCCTGTGGGCAGGGACTGGAGACCGAGCGGTCAAGGCTGTCATTTGGATGCTCCTTAGTACAAACCCAGACTCCATGGCTCAGCGCGCATCCCCGGTGATGGCTCTCTGCGTGTGACACCATCGCTGCTGGAAGAACCAAGCGCCGCCCTCAGACTCGGGCGAGGACGCCGGAGGCTCACTCCTGGTCTCTCCTGGCCTCTGCCTCAGGTGCCTTTGTGTTGCTGATTTCCATCTGTGTCTCTGGTGCAATAAGCCCTACCTGCAACAGCTTTTCTGGGTTCTGGCTCCTTCTGGGGCATCAGCAGAGCTGCTGGTGGTCTCAGGGACCCTCGGCACCCCTGCTCTTTCAAGCAGTTTGGTAGGGAAAGGGGCAGAGAAATGGGTGAAAGCTGGGCGAGGGCCTTGGCTGAACGCGGGGATTTTTTTTAAAGATTTATTGATTTATTTGAAAGTCAGAGTTACACAGAGAGAGAAGGAGAGGCAGAGAGAGAGAGAGAGAGAGGTCTTCCATCTGCTGGTTCACTCCCCAATTGGCCGTAATGACTAGCACTGCGCTGATCTGAAGTCAGGAACCAAGAGCTTCTTCCGGGTCTCCCATGTGGGTGCAGGGGCCCAAGGACTTGGGCCATCCTCCACTGCTTTCCCAGGCCACAGCAGAGAGCTGGATCGGAAGTGGAGCAGCCGGGACTAGAACCAGCGTCCACATGGGATGCTGGCACTGCAGGTGGCAGCTTTACCTGCTACCTTGGGGGTCTTGTTTAAGAGGTACAACTTCGGGCGGACCTGCACGCCCACTGGCACCACAGAGTAGACAAGGAGGCCCCGGGCCTTCAGGAAGGTGCAGTGCACGGTGCCTCGGAGATGAGCAGGGTGGCTCTGGGTGACAGGAGGAAGCCAGGGGGCGGGGACAGGGCCTGTCTGTGGTGCTCTGGTCCCCTGTGCTCCTGCAGGGATGGGGAGGAGCACGCGATGTCACAACGCTGCTGAACAAGACCTCCCAGGGGGCGAGTGGGTGCTAAGACCGCAGGGCGGGGGAAGGGCCCTGAGCCCCCCAGCCGTGAGCTTGTGGGGAAAGCCTGCATACGCTGGCCCCCCCAGCTCCTCGGCCGCTGCGTTCGACCACGCAGGTGCAAGCCGGCTCTCCCAGGGTCACTGCCAGCTGAGGGAGAGACAGACCAGGCGTGTCTGCCGCCGGCTGAGTTTTGCTCGGGCTCAGTCACCAACAGCGTCTTTATTTTACAGCAAATCTGGACTCGCGCTGGAGGAGACTGGAAGCGGCGCAGGAACGCGGCAGCCACCTCGGGAGACGTCGCGGCTGTCCTGTGGGCAGAGCCCGTGCAGCCACCAGCCTCCTGGTCCTCACGGACTGAAGTCGGTCCTGTTGGGAGCCTGGGAAGCTTTGGGAAAGGCTGGGGAGCCCTGTCCTGCTGTGACCCCCGACCCCTGATGGGGGGACCAGGCCAACAAGAACAGTGACAATATTGACAGAGTAAGCGGACGGGGCCGTTGAGCTCCTGAGATGGTGTGACAGCGAGGACCCTGCCAGGCATGGGTGGGGCAGGGGCCGGGCGTGCCAGAGCAGTCCAGGTGGGTGGTGGGGAGGGGAGGGCTTGACACCCACCGGAGCCCTCTCTCTGCCCTACCCCTACCTCCCCAGGAACCCCACAAAATGCAACACTGGGGGTGCAGGCACACGGCCGGGGCAGATGGACTCCCAGAGGACAAATCAGGGACCCAGATCCCAGAACTGGGGCGCACGGTGGGGATGGCATGTTGGAACGAGGTCACCGCCCAGTTGCTGGAACTGGGGCACTTTCCATGTGGGACTTGCGTGCTGCACACACCCTGGGAAACGAGCCGCGTCCGAGCCTGCGACCGGACAGAACCGGATCGGGGTGGGGGGCAGTCCAGGGGACCTCCTTTGCCTCCCCACCACCCACCCAGGGCCACCCCCTCCCTGGCGAGAAGACTCTCAGAGTAAACTGCATGTT